CTGATTACAAGTGATGTTGAACAAAGAAAGTTTGTTCAATAAATGGTGCTGGGAAAACTGGGTTGCTACATGCAAAAGAATGAAACTCAACTACTACCTCACACCATGCACAAAAACCAACTCACAATGGATTAAAGAACTAGACATAAGACCTGAAACCATAAAATATGTAGAAGGAAATATAGGCGAAACACTATGTGATATGCACCTCAAAGACATCTTTACAGACACATCACCCAAAGCAGTGATAGTGAAGGCAAAGATAAACAGCTGGGACTATATAAAATTAAAGAGCTTCTGCACAGCAAAAGAGACAATAACAAAAACAAAGCGAAACCCCACCGACTGGGACAACATTTTTGCACACAACACTAATGATAAAGGACTGATCACAAAAATCTGCAAAGAGCTGATGAGACTCAACAACAACAAAGAAAATAATCCAGTCAAAAAATGGGCAGAAGAGCTAAAAAGAAACTTCTCTGAAGAGGAAATGCAAATGGCCAACAGGCATATGAAAAAAGTTCCAAACTGTTTTATTTCCATCCTTATGCAATCCTTGTCAAGTATCCTCATTGAAACCTTCAGTTCTCAGTAGAATCCTAACTTTGTCTTTCCCCCTCAGAGACACTGTCAAGACTCTGTTGAGTTGGTGCTCTCCTTCACTGTGGTAAGAAATAAACTCTAGTGAGGAGGTTGTTGATATTTTGTGAGTCAGCATTGTGAGCAGTAGGAAAGAGATTGACATTAGGGAAATGGAAAACATGTTTGGATTCTGGGTTTACCTTCTACTAGCTGTGGAACTAAACACTGAGTTCAACTAAACACTTGACTGTATTTTAGTGATGCAAACATAAATTTCTCATAAGGCCGAAGGTTAGACCAAAAACTATGTGAACAGGGCCTCCCCTGGTGGTGCAGGCAATTGAGCTCAGCGCTGTGAAGCTGTCCGCAGCCTCTGCAGCACAGGTTCGATCCCTTTCAGCCAGCGAGGGTCCCACATGGCGTGGCAGACCTCTCCTGTCGCTCCCACTGCTCCCCTCAGCAGTGTATTTCATCAGTCTGCCTGTTCTGTTCCCTGCTCTGTCTCTGGTGAATCCTCTCACCCTCCCGCGCATCTGTACCCCGGTTCTGTATAAATAAATAAATAAATCTTAAAAAATATATATATATGAACATTAAAGTACCTTGTAAGTTTTTAATCTGTACACAAACATTAGTTATTACTACTATTAAGCAGAATATTCATCAAACTGACTGTTCACTGGGGCCACTAGTATCGATGTTAAGCATGTACCACATGCCAAACCATGACCAGAGGTAGACTGCTGGGTTCCCTAATCCCTGCAAAGAATAGTGTACTCTGCTCAAAACATAACCCTAATGCTACCCCATTTTAACAGATAAAATCTTCCACACACTTTTTCAACAATGAAAAAATAAAATTCACAATCACTATAAATTTAACATATTTCCAAAATATATCTTGTAAGCAAGTGAATATAAAAATGAAAAGTTGAATCTATTAAACTAATCTTCATTTTAGGCAATGCACATCAAATGATATTTTTGAAAGGAAAATTTGAAGTATTTGGATAAGAAGTTATATTTTTATTATATCATTGATACATGTAATTCAAGTAGACTTGGGAAACACCATGTAATTAACCCTTATGAATCAGGTATCAATGGAAATAACTGCATTTCAATATAAAAACAGAAAATCACTTATTCATTTATCTGCCTATTCACAAAGAGGATTATTTTCTTCCAGACAATTTGACTTTTTGACACATACACTAAAAGGCAATTTTCTTGTCTTTTTTGAAAAAGATACTTTCATGACTCCACAAGATACTCCCAAATCTACTTACCTTAAAGATCACTTTAAGATAAGAACTTATTTCTTCTCAACCAAAATAATTATTGGAGAAGCACTTCCAAAAATAAAAACACTTCCCACAAGGATGGTGATGTAACAAAACACATACTCATCAAGAGCCAAAGATAAACCTGAACTTCATGCAACCCAGGGAAGGAAAAACAAAATGTTCTTCCAGAACTGTAATACTAGAAATGGGAGCTTAATGAAATTTTAAGTGAAAAATAAGGAATATGATGTGTGAAGCTGCTAAGACATTTCTATAAGAATATTTTTAAATACCATATTCATAGTAAAAGTGAACTAAAGGCCTCTCGCGTGAGATAGTGGAACTCTGAGGCTGGACTTAGACCATGCTCCATCATACTTTGACCAAGGGGGCTGCCTCAATGGGCTCTTTTGTTTCCAGTAGGATTCAGACTGTGGAAGGCACAAGCAGGTTGTCCCAGGGCAGAAGGAGAGTAAGGCTGGGTATTCATTCCCCAGGTCCTTTCCTGTAGAATCTCTGAAACTGGCAATATTTCTCCCCAAATCTATAAATCCAATCAGGCAATTCCAGTAACTGCTCCCTACCCCTCAGTCCTAGGGGTAGAAATGACTGCTGATAGTTGCTAGCTCTGCATTGATTTCCCTTGCCAATACTCTTGTATTTGATCCTTTTAATAAGCTCTTCTTCAATTACCCAATTTGAATGTTTCTTGCCAGAATCTTGACTGATACACTTAGGCAAGAATGTTAATGTCTCTGTGCTTCTGTATCTACTGGTTGTAAAACCAGTCTAGTAAGAATATCTGCCTTATAGAATTTTTGCCAGTACCTGGCTCACAGCAAATTCTAAAATTATTGTTAACTACAAGTATATTCCATTGCATATCATTATTGAAATAGTGTGAATTCTTTTGTCAAGACAAAATAAATACTTTTTTAATATAATAATAGTTTGTAGAATTTCCAGTTTCCTTCTGTCCTTAAAAAAAAGATTTTACTATTAATGCCTATAATCTCACTATCTTGGTAGCCCGGTAATGTTGCTTTTCTATATCCTGCTTTAGCAATGAATAAGCTAGCCCTCTTAATCCAAATACAAGACATCAACAAAAAGCAACATGAAATAAAACAAATCTTAACATTAAATAATGAACCTCTTAAAGGGACTTTGGGGAGAGGGATGAGAGAAAACAGATTTTAGCAATGCCTAAACATGTTTCCTAAGAGACACATCCACCCATTTGAAAGGTTTTATTGGCAGTTCAACATCACTTGTAATCAGGGAAATGCAAATCAAAACTACAATGAGATATCATCTTACACAAATGAGAATGGTACATGTTAAAAAAACTAGCAACAACAAATGTTGGTGAGGATGTGGAGAAAAAGGAACTCTCCTGCACTGTTGGTGGGAGCGCAAACTGGTCTAACCACTATGGAAAGCTGTGTGAAGAGTCCTTAACCTGCTAAAGATGGAGCTTCTATATGATCCAGAAATTCCACTCCTAGGTATTTACCCAAAGGACACAGAAACATTAATTCCAAAGGGCACCTGCACCCCTATGTTTATAGCAGCACTATTTGCAATAGCTAAGCTATGGAAACAACCCAAATGCCCCAAAATAGATGACTGGATCAAGAAGATGTGGTATATATACACAATGGAATATTACTCAGCAATCAAAAAAGATAAACTCATGCCATTTGCAGCAACATGGATGGAGCTGGAAGGGATCATGCTCAGTGAAATAAGCCAGGAAAAAAAAAGAAAAATACCAGATGGTCTCACTCATAGCAGGAATTTAGAGAACCTAAATAAGGGACCAGGAAAAAGACTAATTATAATAAAGTAAAAATCAAAATCAAGAAGCAACTATAAACCAGAGACACACTACAGGGGGCCGGGGGAGAGGAGGGAGTAGGATCAAAACAAGGGGGATGGGAACTGTATGGGGACTATAACCAAGATGAAAATGCATACATTGTGCTAAAATGAAAAGTGATGTGAAAAATATATAAAATAAAAAAGAAAGGTTTTATTGGCAGTATGACAGTTTCATCCATGAAAAATAATGATCATTAGTTTTTCCATGACAACTCTGGTTAGCCTATGATATCCATCATGCTCCCGGAGCTCATAGCTTTTTCACAATTCCAATGCCTTGGTTCAAAACATTAGAATGTATTGATGCTATTTTAATTGTTTCTCATATAAAGTCCATTGCTACTTGTCACAAAGTCCCATACATTAAAGATCATTATTGATCTTTATTAATGTAATATTATTACATTATTAATGTAATAAACATACATTATTGAACTTTTGGGAGCTCCATATATATGAAGCCATTCTGAAGTTGGCCTGCAATTTTAACCAAGGTCATGCAAATGAAAGCTTTGGCAATTAGATTTGATTAAGAGGGTCAATTTGAGTGAGACCTCAGATCTCATATAATTATAAAAAGCTACAGATCTGCACTAAAATGTCAGCAAAAAAAAAAGTCAAAATAGCATAAAGACAGATCTCAGAGCATACATTTCATATGAATAACCAAATAGCTTTTATTTAAATTATAATTTCCTTTGTTAACTAGAAATCTTCAGTTTCACTGGTCAAAGTAGGTATTATTTTTGAAGCCTGGAATAGCTTAAGGCCAAGGAATATTACAATGGGACTCTGTTTCAATCATTCCCAACATTTAAAATAAGCCTTAAAATATCACTAGTGCTCTCATATTCTAGTTCTAGAATATCAGAGAAATACATTTTTTTGCGCAGTCTGTATAGAGTATCTGCAACCCTCTATATGGAAAAATAGCTTTTTATTGCTTATTCATCTAAGCGGGCATGTATGTATAAATAAATATCTGTATTAATTTATTTCTATATCCACAACATATATGTATCATCATAAACATACAGAGTATTTCAGAAATTCTAAAATAATTTTTTCACATACTAACATTTCAGACAATGGGATGAAAATTATAATTTAATAATGTGATACTATTATAACATCATAATGTAATTACAATGCAGCAATTTTTTCAGTTTTTTAGCACTACATGTTAATAATATACCTTATAATCAATATTGTCTTAAATTATATGTGTCTCTGTGTGCATCTTACCTCTATTGTCTTCTTTCATTGTCAGTTTAGCACTTTTACTTTTTATGTGCTTCCAGAGTTATTTTAATAGAGTCACGGGCTTACAAATCTAGTAAATAAACCTTAGTTCTGGGAGAAAACAAGCAAAGTCATGTTAAAACATGTTACCAAAGCTCACCATGCAGAAATTAAACCCTGAATTTGTTGAGTTGATTATAGTGTAAGCAAACTTCAGGAACAAAGTTCCAAAAGGAAACACAGCCAATGAGCCACACCAGCCCCACAGCAGAAAATAACAACCCATGAAACTATCTGAAGGTTATCAGACTCAGACTTCACGGATACATTATCATACTTATCAATGATTAAAATGAATTTCAATGTATGAATGAATGGAACTATATTTTACATAACATTACGATAAATATGCAGTACATAGTTTAAATACATGTTATTAAAACCTCAAATCCTAAAACTAATTCATCTTCTCTATGTTTAACCACTGAGAGATTCAGTAGACCCCAGCCAGTCTTAATAAGCTTGTTTTTCTTTTCCTAGGTGTTTAGCTCTTTCCAACTATTATTTTTCTGATTTTCTTTTTTTGTTGTTGTTGTTGTTTATTTGGACTATGTTAAAGTTGAAGTTCCATTTCTCAAATCACTTCTGAACAGTTTTTCTTTGACTTTAAGAGAATCTTTCAGCTGATAAGAAAGCCTCATCCAAAACACAAAATTTTCTAGGTGCCCACTCTGGGTTAGAAACCAAGGATAGGGCCTCCCTGGTGGTACAAGGGGTTGAGACACAGTCTATGACGCTATCTGCAGCCACTGTAGCATGAGTTCAATCCCTAGCCAGGGAGCTGCCCACGTGGCGCAGCAGACCTCTCGTGGCTCCCCTGCTGCTCCCCTCAGCAGTGTATTTAAGTCAATCTGCCTGTTCTGCTCCCCACTCTGTCTCTGGAGAGTCCTCGCACCTCTCACACCTCTGGCCTGTACCCCAGATCTTGTATGCAAAAATAAAATAATCTTTTTAAAAAAGAAAAAAGAAACCAAGGATAAAAAGATGAATGAGACAATCTGTCTTTGCTTTCAAAATGTAGTATACTGCCTAGGAGCATGGGTGTCACAAGTAAAATATCAGAAATGCAAAATCTCAGACTTATAGTATTAGGTGCCTCCAGAGAAACAACCATTAGGAGATACACTAGAGAGATACGTAAGTAGTTAGGTAGGTAGGTAGGTAGGTAGGTAAGTAGGTAGGTAAGTAGGTAGGTAGGTAGGTAGGTAAGTAGGTAGGTAAGTAGGTAGGTAGGTGAGGAGTAAGTAGGTAGAAAGGTGGATTGATGGATGGATGGATGGAGAGAGAGAGAGAGAGAGAGAGAGAGAGAGAGAATAGAGAGAAGATAGGCACATACAAATTTATTATAGGGAATTGGTTCACACAATTATGGCAATAAGTCCCAAGATCTATATAATGAACTGGGGTGTCGGAGAGCCAATGGCAGTTTCAAGACTCAGAAGAGCTAATGCTTCACTGCAGTCCAAAAGAAAAGAGAAGCCAAGTTCAAAGACAGTCAAACATGAAGCATTCTCTCTAACTTAGGGGAAGGTCATATTTTTATTCTGATCTATAATTGTCTATTTTTGCTTTGTTGTGTTTTGTACTGTTACTATTTTTTTACACTGATATCTTATTTGGTTCCCCTATATTCCTGCTATAAGGGAAACCATCTGATATTTTTCTTTTTCCTTCTGGCTTATTTCACTGAGCAGAATTCCTTCTAGTGCCATCCACGTTGCTGCGAATGGCATGACTTTATCTTTTTTGATTGCTGAATAATATTCCATTGTGTATATATACCACATCTTCCTGATCCAGTCATCTATTTTTGGGCATTTGGGTTGTTTCCAGGTTTTGCCTATTGTAAATAGTGTTGCAATAAACATAGGGGTACAGGTGTTCTTTTGGATCAATGTTTTTGTGTCCTTTGAGTAGATCCCCAGCAGTGGAATTACCTGGTCATATGGCAGTTCCATTTTTAGTAGACTGAGGAACCTCCAGACAGCTTTCTATAGTGGTTGGACCAGGTTGCACTCCCACCAGCGAAGTAGGAGAGTTCCTTTTTCACCACATCCTCGCCAACATTTGTTTTTGCTTGGTTTTTTGGTTTTTTTTTGATATGTGCCATTCTCACTGGTGGAAGGTGGTATCTCAATGTGGTTTTGATTCGCATTTCCCTGATTATCAGGGATGTTGAACATTTTTTCATATGCCTGTTGGCTGTTTGCATTTCCTCTTTGGAGAAATGTCTTTTAAGTTCTTCTGCCCATTTCTTGACTGGATTGTTTACTTTGTTTTTGTTGAGTTGTGTGAGTTGTTTGTATATCTTTGTGATCAGTCCCTTATAGAGACATCCTGCAGGGGAGGAGGAGGGAGCGGGATCAGAGGGAAGGAGGGAGGGAGGGAGAAGCACAGGGCACTGAGGTGACGGTGCATGGGAGCACTGGTGAAGGAAATTCTATGGGGACTATACTTGAGGGGGTGGGGGAAGCAAATATTGTTTAAAAATGAACAATGATGTAAAAAATTAAAAATAAACAAAATAGAAAAAATTTTATTCTGTTCAGGCTTTCAACTGATTGGACAAGGCTCACCTACATTAAAAAGAACAACTACATTAGGAAGAGCAATCTGTTTCATTCAGTATACCAATTTAATTGTTAAGCACAATCCCAGAGACACATCCTGAAATGACATTTGACCACATATCTGCATACCACATGAGTCCGTCAAGTTGACACATGAAGACTAACATTACACCTATTGAACAGGAATCTGCATTTTAACAAGATCTCTATTTGATTCATAGGCAAAATGAAGTTTGAAAAGCACGTCTAGTCTATGTGCACAACGATCTCACAGACACATGAACAAATAACAACCTATAGCATGGTTCCAGCTATAATCAAACCAGATGAAAACAGAATGGTGATAGGCATAGTAAGCAGTGAATATCTCCCTGAACAGACCAGGAAAGACTTCACAGAAGAGAGGTCCCTCACCTAGGTTTTAAAGATGAACAGTTTTCCATACACAGCCTTTGCAACCAGAGTACCTGGATTTAAAGCAATAACTCTGCCACTTACTAGTTGTATAATCTAGTATGATTAATAGAACCTCCCGACACCTCAACTTCCCCCTCTGTGAAAGGGGGGAAATAATATAACTAGCATATACCAATAATTAAATGAGCTGGCACATGTAAACATATGCCTGACACATAGTAACCATTATAAAATATAAACTATCACCATCATCATGACCATGTTTTTAACTCTTCTGATCCACAAGATAAGCTATTATTTATAGTTCATTTTATTTAATATTAGATTTGCCTCTGTCCCATTAACAATGATATCACCCTTGATGTAAAAGCATCTTGGACTTTCCTGACTCTAGCAAGAAAGAATGAACACAAATGCAAAGATTCACAGAAGTCCAAGACTAAACCACCACAACAAAGTTCCTGAATAAGTATAGGAAATAACATTTATGGTCTGCTTATTATAAGATAGGCATCTTGGATGAACTTAGCAGTATTATTTCATTTAATCCTCATAACTTCAAGGTAAACAGTGTATTACCTCTATTTTATAGATATGGAGGCAAAAATAGAAAAATGTTGAACAATGTGCCCAAATTCACAGAAATAGTAAGCAATAGAAGCAACATGTACCCAGGCACTCTGGTTCCACTTAACCATAATGTGATGATAAGTTTCAATGGGCTAAAAATTAGGGAGAAGAACATGGGGAGATGATATCTAAATCTGAGTGGTGTCAATTTTTTTAACATTTGTGTCCTCCTAGAGATGTGATAAGCACAGGAATGCAGATTGATGGTTTTTGCTCTAAGTTCAGATTGACAAAAATACAATAGAAAGAAGCAAAACCAGAGGTCTACCCAAATCAATCTAGTTCTTATAATTGGGTAATGCTAGTGATATAACAAATAGGCCCACAGATATACAAACCCGCTAAAAAAAATTTTATTCCGTGTTCAGGTTAGACTATAGATCAGATAATTCCAGCTGACAAATGGCACTTCTCTACACAATGGTTCCATCCTATGGCTTCACCAAACCCAGGAGTAGTCGTCTACATCCAGACAGTAGAGGAGGAAAAGGAGAACATGGAGGAAGCAATCCCGTTTCTGCAATGCTATGGCAGGAAGTGACACATACCGTTTCCATTCATATTCCACTAGTGAGAAACAGCTAAATAATCATGCCTGGATGCAGAAAGGCTGATTAGCTACCTAACAGGGACAACTGTTTACTACATAAAGGGGAGTATGAGTTATAGTGCACAGCCAGCCACCTCTGCAGTATCCTTCTCCTGGGGATTCTACGGGATCTCCATCACTCAGGCATACTGGACCCTCTGTGTCTATGGGATAGGTTCCTGGGGAATCTGATGAGCAAAAAATAGCACCTCATTTCCACAGCTTATCCTCGATGAAGTGGAGGCTAGCACTACTTGAGAGGGATAGATAGGTAGATCCACAGATAGACTGTGGTGTCCTAAATTTGACTGTGACGGTAAGTTGAGTCTCTTAATCCTTACTCGCCTCCTACAATTAAGAAAAAAAATTCGGGCCTCCCCGGTGGCGCAGCGGTTGAGCGCTGGGTTGCGAAGCTGCCCGCAGCCTCTGCAGCGCCGGTTCGATTCCCAGCTGCTCCCCGGCCACCAGAGGAGGGTCCCACATGGCGCGCAGACCTCTCCTGCCGCCCGCTGCTCCCCTCAGCGGTGTGCTTCGGTCCCTCTGCCTGCTCTGCTCCCCGCTCTGGCTCTGGAGAATCCTCTCACCCTCCCGCGCTTCTGACTGTACCCAATGCTTGTATAAATAAATAAATAAATCTTTAAAAAAAAAAAAAAGAAAAAAAATTCACACAAAATCAATTGTCTTTACTCAATAACTGCTGGTTAAAATATCTGATTATTCTGCTGGGAATAACTCTCTGGCAGCAGCACAAAATATTCTATCAATTTTAGATGAAAATAAAGATCTAAAATTTCCCATGTAAGTGATTAAAATGCACTCAGTTGAGGGCCTCCCCTGGCGGCGCA